CCGATGCTGCTGCCGCTGTAGGAGTCCAGCTGGTTTAGAAAGACCCTCTGGCTCCGAACGGTCCCTTCGGCCGCGGCCACCTCCTCCTCCTCCTCCGCCATGGCGCTCGCCGCAGAAACCGGGCCGTTGCTAAGCGACCAAGCCAAGCGGCAGCGGCCTTCTCCGCACCGGCCCAGGCACCAGGGACAGCAGGCCGGCCACTGGGGCCAGCAGCCACAGCTCCGGGCCAAGCGGCGGGCACGCGGCGATGCCTGCAGCGGGCGCGGCGGGAAGGGAGGCTCCCACGTATCAGAATAACGCAGAGCGAGAGAGCGGTATCGGGGGGAGACAGAGCAGCACTACAGCAGGGGAAAGGACAGGAACCTGGAACCGTCTCCTCTAGGGCCAAAGCTCTACGGGGCAAGGGGAGAGAAGCATGGTAGAGGCTGAGTCTGATAAAACAACACGTGTTGTATCTTGAGTTGGCTGTTCTGTAGCTGGGGCCAGTAGGTAAGGTGCTTGCACAATTCTGGTGGAGTTAAGGGCAGCCAGGCCAGGAGCCTGTTCGAAAGTATTGGTACCAAGATGGGCTTGTAATAGCAAAATTCACATAGATTCATTTGCTTTTTAAGTAAGAGTCACTAACTTTTGCTCATATACTAGGCCCTCTATTTTACTAAGAATTTAATAGCTCAAACAGTACAGTAGATTACAGTGTCAAAGTTGCAGTATGTATTGCTTAGCAGTTGAAATACTTCAAAGCAATTTCCAGTGCACTAGCATCTCACTGGGTTGTGAGATTTTTTTCCATCTTGGGAAAATGGTTTGTAAAACTAGTTCATAAGACTGATATTTGAAAAAGCAAAGTTCCAGCATATGCAGATTCACAGATGAATTAAGTGAAATATAAAGGTAGGTCAGAAGTTGCTGGTTATCCTTCAGCCTTGCACAATTTGCACACTACCATCCTAGACAAAAGGGGAGAGGAAAAAGGAACAGTGATAGGTAAAGCAGCTCTGATCTCTGCTCATCAGAAAATGGTTACTGCCATTACCAGGGCATGCTAGCTGCATGGTTCAGCATGCTGCACATGCGCTGAGCCAGGCTATAATCGACTCACCTGTAGTGAGTAGATTACCTAAATTGTCGAGCCCTGGCCATTACATGTCTCACAAGTAACAGTACAGGTATGTCTCAGCACTGGGAGATGGCCCAGTAACCTTGAGATTCCTTCCATCTAAAAGGGTGCATGTATGCAGCAACCTAACATCAAAATAGTGTGCTATTTTGAGACATTCCTTAACAAAATAACGGATGGCTTGATGTAGATGTGGGTTAGCTATTTCGGAATACCTCCAGTATTCCAAAATAGTCGTGGAGTGTAAGGATGTTAAAATGCAGTAGGAAGTGGAGCATCTGGGGCTGAAAGAACTGAGTGTGCTGGGTTAGAGTCACTCCACTTCTGTTATTTACATTCTAACTCATCTGATTAAGTAGGTCTTACCCACCAAAGCTCATGCTGCTATGTATTTGTTAGTCTAAGCCGCCACATGACTGCTTGTTTTTAAAGTTACAGACTAACATGGCTACCTTGGACACTTTTACAGTACATAAGCAAATAAACAGTATCATTCTTTATACAAAAGTGATGTGATCTTGTTCTGAACTGGAAGAGACTCGTTTCCTAACAGATCTACAATCCAGAGCTCTAAATACATATGTTCTTCAGAATGGCACAAAAATTTGTCATTATCAAAGCCAACTCCATTCTACGTAATGTTACCAGACATCCTTACAGCAGACAGTTGTTTGTATTATTTTAATAAGTCTCCAAAGTGATTAAACTTGTTCACTAATGTTCCTTAAGCAAATCTCCATCCCTTTTTACATGGGTCAGTATTACTATTCAAGATGTGAATTTTAAAAATGTTTTATGTATTTGTATAGTGCAACCAAAGGCATTGCTTAAACTACCATATGTTTACCTGACTTGTGTATCTGAGACTTACAAGTTTAGAAAGGTATAAGCAGGGTTCGACAAATAATGCAATCTACTCTCCTGTGGCGAGTAGATTACAACCCAGAAGAGCTGGGTTCGGGCAGACAGCGCGGCTGGTAAGCGGGGCTTGCCATAGTTCGGCGAGCCCTGGGTAATAAGTGTACGTTTCCAATTTATTTGGGTCAAGGAGAGTAAAATGCGGATCATACATAAGTTTGTGCATTTATTCAAGAGTCTAGTCATTGAAATAAACAGGTGTGCTGTTAAGAGTAGATATTCAGATAAAAGCTTGGCAAAGCACATTTTCCTCACAGAGGATTAAAGCATATGCCACAACAGCAATGAACATTTTTCTTAGAGCATGAAAGTACTTTTAACCAAAATATACATTGAACTTTAGGGCAGAGGATTAACACAAAAACAGAAAAACATTATACTTCAAAACAGACGCATTGACTGTCAGTGCCTTCTTAATCCTAACAATCGCCACAAAACTACAATAAATTCTCAACTTGCTTGACTGGCCCCTTAACTGGTGTCAATCAGTCTAGCTCTGTTGAAGTCAGTGGAGCATGTTTATCTATAATAGCTGACAATCTAGCCCTCCCCTCTCTGGATTCACATGCAGTTTATGTTTCTAGTATGAAACATGGGAAAATAAAGGCAGAATTATATAATCAAGGATGAATAAATACTGAATTGTACAAAATATGGAAAAAAGTGATAATAAAGTCATAGACATATTACTGGTGCTTTAAACCAACTAGGTACTTTTTAAAAAGTCCCTCCCATACATTTGAAAACTTACAGTAACAATCAGTTTATAAAGATCTTTGTATTTGTTATAAGATAGAAAATACATATAACTGTCGTCTAATTCAATATCAATCTCTGAATGTTTCATGAAGCCTTTGGTCTCAAACCAAAACAATGCATTAACATTATATACTTACTGTTCTTTAGGACAAGATACTGTACAATTGAGGGCAAAGCAGGGAAGCCTTATAGCAATGGTCTCCAACCTTTTTAAGAGCAAGATCACTTTGAGTTTAAGTGCAATCCAAGATCTACCTCAAACCCAAACATCCTTGCCCCACCTCCTTTAAGCTTCTTGTGCCACTTGGGAGGCCCCGCCCCGGTCACACCATCCTCCCTCACTTTCACCAGACTGAAACAGAGGGTTGCGGTGCAGGTTCTGGTCTTGGGTTAAGGGATTTAAGAGTGTGAGAGGTTCTGAGCTGAGTTTGGGGCAGGCAGTTGGGTTGCAGGAAGGGAGTTTTCGGTGCAGGTTCTGGGAGGGTGTTTGGATGCATGGGAGCTCAGGGCTAGGGCAGGGCCTTTGGTGCACGAAGGGGTTCATAACTTGGGTAGGGGTTCAGGATGTGGCCTCCAGTTGAGCACTGCTTATTGTGCCCCCTCTCTGCTCTGTGGACTTAGGATACATGGTAGAAGGGAGCACCTTGACATCAGCGTCCTCCCTCCACTCCCTCCCCTGCCCAGCAAGCAGGAGGCTCCTGGGGGAACAGCCCCAAGGCAAAGGGCCAGAGCTGCACAGCACTTGGAAGAGGAGCAGCTGAAGCGCTGGCATATGGCCAAACCAGTTAGGATCACCTGTCAGAAGTTCCAAGATCTACCAATAGATCCCACTCTACTTGTTGGTGACCACTGCCTTACAGAAATAAAGTATTGTAAAAAGTAAAGGCTGAAGCAAAAATACTTGAGTATATTCTGTATAATGTAAACAAACTTTCAAAATAGTAAAACAGGTGCAAATGTCTTCCCCTCCCTCCCAAAGTTTAACATTAGTATGATCTAGACAAGAGCATTTAAGAAAAAAATTTCACCTGTTCTTCCTAGTTTACTTCTGTGCTTATCTCATTTACAATTTAGATGATACATTCATATGTCAACAGTTATCTTTTGTTTATTGTTCAAAGTAAGCTGTTTGGGGCAAACCAGGGTACATTGAATACTAAGCATTACTTTTAACTCAAATACTGGCACTAAGGCCAGGTCAAACTAAAAATCAGATTGATTTAACTATGTTGGTCAGGGCTGTGAAAAGTCTACACCCTTGGGTGATGCAGTCAAGTCAACTTAAATCCCTGTGTAGATGACAGGAGGTTGATGGAAGAATTCTTCCATCAGCTTAGCTACTGCCACTTGGGAAGGCAGAATCTCCTGCTGGAAGTCTCAACTACTCTAATAGCACAATAAATCAGAGAGGCAATCTGCAACTGACGTATGAAACTAAGTGATGCAGTGAATTTTCAGGTTTGCACACAAGGAATTAAGCTGAAATATGTATCCTCTAAATGGAATAAAGTAATTCCCATTAATGTAACTAAAACAAGTAATTTTTTTTTTAAGGAGCAGAGTTAAAGTTTACAGATAGACACATTAAGTATTACTGTGTTCATATATGGCATTCAAGATTTACACAGTAGCAATTAAGATGCTTCTTAAATAAAATATTGCTCATATTGCTTTACAAAGATCAAATTCCTCAAGTGTTATAGTTATTTTCAACTGATGATCTACAGCAGAGTTAAATAAAATTAAAAGGATACTATTTATATAAGTTACCAAGATAGCTTAAAGTGGCCTTGGGGACAAAGCAGATCCATAGCAACACTGATACTTTACAAGTTAGTATTATTGTAAGGAACCTAGATGTTAAGGCAAGAAATGAAGCTTAATCTAGGTTTCTGCCTATATCTGAAAGCAAAATCTCAGTGTAACAGTAAGAATTCCCATTATCAGTAACCATTCATCAACATGTGCTTGTTTCTACAGACTGAATCATGACTGCCCGTCCCTTTTCAAAGCTTCGAGTCTCTGTAGCAGTGCATTTCCAAAAGCTTCACGATATGCTGGGCTAAGAGAGTCCAATAAAGAGTAGACTGTTTCATGGTATGGCATTTGTAAGCCATCATCAGCCTGGTCAAAAGCATAACCAACCACCTGTAGCAAAAAGACCAATGGATTAATTTTTTTGTGTGGTTAGCCACTGTGTAATGAGAACCATAAGGGAATCACAAAATTAGTCACATTAATACACTAAATAGAAGGATTGCCAAAAATCTATACTTTGTAATTTTGTTGGTCCCAGAATAATAGAGACAAGGTGGGTGAAGCAATATTACATACAGCTCCTTTTCAGGTCTAGAAAGATACTCTGTCAAAGTTAAATACAAGATGGAAGAGACCATCTGGCATAAACATTTACAGGTATTGTAAGTACATTTAAAGGTGAAATGTATTTAATTCCACAGAAAAGTTAGGTTGACACATCTATGTCATTCAGTGGTTTAACAATTTTTTTAAATAAATAAATAAATAGATAAATAAATAAAGAGAGAGAGAGAGAGATCCCTAATCCCTGAGCAATGTCGTTAAGTTAAACTTACCCTTGGATCAGCCTACTTACAATATATCAAAGAGGAAGATCACTTATATTGATGGGAGTGGTTCTTCCATCAATGTAAGTAGTGCCTAACTACACAGCTGTGCCACTGTAGCACTTCAGACTTGAAGAACACCATAGAAGTTCAAAACATGTCTTTCACTAAGAGAAACTGGTTCAATAAAGCCTATACTTTGTCTTCTGTACGAGAGATGTAACAATTTGTCCTTACAAGGAATTTTCAATATTTTCTCTCCTCACAAAACAGACCACCAAAAACTTTACAGAATCTTACTCCTGAATTTAGCTGAAAGTTCTCATTTCATCACGAGTGTTTGCACAAGCAATTTAATTACTATAAATGGAGATACATGCATAGAAAATCAATATTGAGTGTTTTAGTCATATAGACAAGCTAAAAATTATAGTAGTCTGTTGCATAAAATATAGCATTGTGCTCACATATCTTTATTTAATGCTTGACTTCACCTATTTTCAGCCTGTTACTGAAACATAGTATCAAGATAAAACCAGATACAGAAAAAATAAAATGATATGCTATACCCCAATGATGTGGGACACAGTTTATAAGTTTATACTCTATGATATGCTATACCCCAATGATGTGGGGGACAGTTATAAGTTTTACTTTAAATAACCCTTATTGCATGAACTCTAACTTAACATTTTCCATTCATGTAAGATGCACTTTGGCAGGTCAACTGTGTAAATCCTCTCCCTTTAACTGGATTTAATTGAAATGATGTTTTAGTAGCTCCCTAAAAAGCTGAATTTTGAAGTAGGAAAAAGACTCTAAGAAGTGTTCAGTAAAGAAAAGACTATGCATCTTTGACAACAACTGAAAATTATACTAGATCTCTCAATATTTAGTGTAAACAATTTAGCTTTATAAAGGATAAACAAGTTACCCTAAGTCCTGCTTCTGTGAGCTCCAGGCAATATCTGTTTCTTTCTCTTGTCTCCACATTGATATATGCCACATCCTCTGCACAGTGAAGGTTTTTTGAGACAAACATATTGCTGACAGCAAACAAAACATCATTCACAACAGCTTCAGCTTCTAGTCTCATATCCTTCACATCTGTTCCTTCAATGTCTTTACATTCAGAATCTTCTTCAAACGCTGGATTAGTGGAAAACTCCATGGGATTGTAATCAGTCTCCATTCTGTGATCAGAAAAGACTACATTTAACTTTATTGGTCACAAATGCTTGTTATGCAAGATAAATGGTATAAAAGCAAGACAGTTTTTTTTCCCCAAAAGAGATAAATGGTATAAAAGCAAGACAGTTTTCTTTTGGGGGGAAAAAAAAACTATTTTAAGACAAGAAGATATGGGCCCTGCAGTTATTAGCAGATCAACAAGGATTATTTTTATCTGAGGAGCTTGATAGGGTATAAACCACAAAGTTTCAGCATAACAATTTGAGTTCTAGGAATAAACAGATATGGTTTTTAAAGTAACTGATAATGAACTTTTTTGTATTCTTAATACACAAGCAACTAACATTGCATTAGAAGAACCTGTCATGAGTCAGCACTAAAAAACCTCATCTGCTACTCAGCACATAGAAATTGAGGTCTGTGAAAAGCTGCCTCAGTGGATACAGGAAAGGGAAGAGAAAGGGGAAAGGAAAAGAATGATAAAAGGAAAGCTCTAATTCTTGGATTGAAAATGAAGGGTTACTAATATTTAAGGGAGTTAGTGAAAATGGCTGTTTGTCTGTAAGGAAACTAAATTTGTTCAATCTTTGCCCTCTATTCGCTTGTTAATAGGTCTGCAGTGTATATGAACAGCTTGCCAAAAAGGTTGAACACACTGCGTTCGTCATAATACGCAAGTCATGCATGGTACGAAAGGCAACGCAAAATACCATTCCAAACCCCGTTCCGGCCCCGGGTCAAATTGCTCCCAGAGCACCGCCACACACCCCACAAGCAAGGAGGCTGGCGGCCAATGGCGCGAGACAAGTACGGCAGGGCGCCTCTCGACCCCGCCAGCCCCCTGGGGCTGCAAGCACAAACGAGAAAGGCCCAGCAATCCCTGGGAAAAGGCCTATGGGCAGCGCAGGCAGCACGGTGACAGCTGCACGGCGTGCAGGAAAAGCAGACTCGGCCTTGGGTTTGACTCGGGAAACTCACCCACCCAGCACAGCGGTGAATCAACCATTCCTTCCACTACTCCCCTCTGCCATAGGCCAAAACCCTTCCCCCTCCATCCCAGTCACCTGTCCGCCGCAGACTAGCCTTCCGCCAGTCTATAAGATCGCAAAAGATGAGCTTAGCAGCTGGCCTCCCACCCACTTCCACTTCCGCCTTATGCCCGCCCCTTCACTTCCGCCCCCGCTTTATGACTTCACTTCCGCTCTAACGTCACAACCCGTCACTGTGGCTCAAGGATGATGAGGGGGGAAGGGTAGAACTAGGAGGAGGAGGAGGCGACGTGCCCGCTGAGGGGGACCGAGGCTGGGGGACAGTGCGCGTGCGCGACCCTCACCCCCACCGCGGAGCAGCCCCCCCCCAAGTGATCAGCCGCCCCCTGGCATCCCAAGGCGCTGAGAAGATGGCGGCGGCTAAGTGAGGATGGAGCTACCTGTCATTGCCTTCTCCCCCTGAGGGTGCGGGGTCCGGCCCCACGGGGTGCGAGCGGGAGCAGGGGGGACCTTAGGGAGCCCTTTCCCTAGTGGAGCTGACTCGAGCCAGGCAGCTCCCCCTTCCTCGCCCCTCGTCGCCCCAGCCGAGTTGCCCCCTCTCTTCAGCCCAGCATCTCCAGCCTGTAGACCCCCCCTTCTCTGCCACCATGCCTTGGCCTTTCTCAGAATCCATCAAGAAAAGGGCCTGCAGGTACCTGCTGCAGAGGTACCTGGGTCACTTCCTGCAGGAGAAGCTCAGTCTGGAGCAGCTCAGCCTAGATCTGTACCAGGGTACTGGATCCCTGGCGCAAGTCCCTCTGGATAAATGGGTAAGAAGTGCTGTCCCTGCTACCCTGCTACTCTTGAGGAATCTGCCCCCGGCCTCTCCCCTCCCCTAGGAGCCACTGGTTTATTTTTAAATCACCTTTTTGCCTTAACAATAAAGTCAAGTTTAATGTTTTATTTGGGGAACTATTCTACTTGCCACCATGGCATCTGAGCATCTTACAATAAAATAAGTTGGCTGGTGCAGTTGGTTTTCCTGTTCTCCCCACATGCAGTAACTCTGAGTGGGAATTGGCTGCATTTAAAAACGTTTGAAAGCAAAGGAAATGAGGGATCTTGAAATGGGCCTTAAGATGGCAAGGTAGCAGGTTAATCAGCCGTCTGGAAGAGAGGTCCATCTTTCAGTGGGCTGATTGCTGGCTTTATGGATAGCTCCACTGTTCTTGAATAAAGGAAGCTCTGCTGTCATGGAAAGACCTGATAGTGGAGAGGGAAGTGGTAGCTCAAACCCAGACCACTGAAAGCTTTAATACATAGCTCACTGGTCCAGAAGTAGACCCCGGTATTCGGTTGGGGGTCAGTGGAAAAAAAAGCAGTGGGAGTGGTAATCGTGATCTGCTAGTATTGCATGGACTGCCATATTCTGAACCACATGGATTTTTTTCAGGCCTTTCATATTCATTTCTGGGGATAGAGTGCTGCAGTGATTTAGTCTGTCAGTTACAACAATATGCATCTTTATGGCTGGGTCTGTATCTATTAATATTTGATAGTTTTTTGGCTAGCTGTCAGAAGAAGGATGTATTTCTAGTAGTTGACATTTGAGTTTTCGTTATCATTGAGGATTTTTGATTATATTTGGCTTGACTGGATGGAAGGTGATAGGATATCAGTTTGTTCTTCACAACACCTTTGTCTTTTTAATACCATCACTTGTTTTGCCTATCTTAAGGTTTAGTAAGCTGGTCTACATTTATGTGCTGATTTTTTTTGACAAACTAAGATAGATAGTTACAGTCATTTTTCAGCTTTTTAGAATGGAGATGTAACTCTGGATGGTATGAGCATAGTCTCAGTCTTTATATGTTTATATAAATATTCACTTAGATGGGGGAGAGGGTACAGGGCTATGGAATGCCACAGGTGAGAATTGGAAGGCATAGGAGTTTGCCTATCAGAACTATGTAAGTCTAGTCTGAGGCAGAACAAGAGCCATCTCCATATAACTCTGAATGGCCTCTAAGGTAAGTCAGTAGTATCTTATGTCTGACTGTATAAAATATTAGGGAGGTCTAGTATCATTCATGAGTATTACTGTTTGCTAGCTGTCCATGGCTATGAACAGACTGTCCAATCACCAACAAAATATAAATTGTTTTTGTTCCATATTCTGGTGTAAGGACCAGCTAAGCAGATTCCAGAATAGTAGCAGTGGACAGGTGTTCTTGGAGTTCATGCTTTGCCAGTTATTCAATCACTCTGTTCAGGAATGGGAAATTAGACATTGAATGGTAGTCAGTAAAGTATATTAATCCAGTTACAGCTATGAATATGGCTTTGTTGTCACTACTGTAGCAAAGGTAGTAAGCTTCTCACTTCATAGGAGTTGTTGAATTGTGTAAATAAGTGGCCCTGGAAATCTTATTACCCTTCACTAGCGAAGAAGGCCATGGGTCAGTGTCCAGGGCTCCAGTGTGAAGCCATGATTACAGTATTTTTTTAAATCTGAAATCTAGATTGTTGGCTTTTGGTTTTTTGTTCATTTTAGCCCTTTCAAACACTTATGCATGCCTTACTACTAGTGAACTACCACTAAACTTTACTAGTAGTAAAGTTAAGCGTGCATGTTAGTATTTGCAGATTTGTGGTCTAATTGTGTAAAAGAGATGTTTCGTAAGTGCGGTATTTAAAGGACTTCTGAGATGCCATAGATAAAAGACATTTTGTAAATAAAAAATCTTCTTCTTTTGGTCTTTAGGGGCAGCTGTTTTTTTCAAGTAGGCCAGAAGACTTAATGTTTCAATATGATTTTAGTGCCCTCTAGTGGATCGTAAAACAGCCTTAGTTATTTTCACTAGACTTGAAAGACAAACATTACTGAACCCTTGCAATTTACTTAAAGAACTAAAGAAAGTAAAATTTGCATATAATGCTCATTTTCCAGTTGCAGAAACATTTTTTTTTTTTTGCTGGGCTGTGTTTTCTGGCCTATAAATTAGTGAGTAGCAAATGCTCTTTAGATATGGCCCTCTCATGCATGACATAACAATTGCAAAAATAAGTGTTGCGAAAGTGCTACAGCTGTTTTTTTCTAAGTCATTTTAAACCTGCTATCTACATGTGCTCAAGGAGCCTGTAGTTTTACTTTAATTATTTTTCACTTTTGTTGTGTTTGGAACTGTTTGTTCTGCATCTACTAATTTCATTCCATTTAAAAATATTTAACATACTTAATCTATACCAAGAGTTCTTACAACACATTTTTGGTGGCCTCAGAGTGCATCTAGAAACTTTTGCTCATGGCTGCTCTGACAATTTTTCCTGAAATACTTAACTTCAGGAAAAACAAATAAATATGCAGATATACATGTCCAAATCATTTTAATTTATTCACGTGGAGGTTTTTGCCTACTTACTAATTTAAAATAATGTGCTGTTGTCTCTCTTTTTTTATTAGACCATAACAGAATAAAAACACAAATAACATGCTTTGCACATTCTTGTCCTTTGTTGTTATTTCTTTAGCTTTTTTTTTTTTGCTTTTTTAAAAAGATTTCCTAGTCAGTAAGTCTGCTGCTGTGAAAAGTAATATGTGTCTGTTTCTTGGACTTCAACAAACTATTTTGTATTCTTGCCAAAAATCAGACAATATCATGGGAGATAAGTTGACTAAAAGTTGTGAAGCAAAACAACTTCTGCACTGCAAAATGTCTACAGTTGAGCACCCTCTTTTAGAGCACAAACGCAGTTACAGATATGTTCTTGTTGGATTGATGCAGAGATTTCTGTGCGTTTCCAGGGATTTCATTATTTCTGCAGGCAGTGAGGAAGAGCAAATAGTCACTGAGATAACTGCAATTTGGGGCCAATCTGTATGGGCAGGTGGATGTTTTCGCAAATGCATCATGTTTGGGGCATTTGTGATCTGCCATAACATAACGTTCACATTCTTTTCAGTATTACAGCTTTCTTGTCAATTTACTGTTTTGTATTTGAGCAGTTGATTTACCTTCTTCCTAAGTGTAGTACTTTGTGCTTCTGTTTGTTAAATTTTATCTTGGAATTTCAGACCTAATCAATTTATCCAGGTCATTTTAAATTTTAATTCTATCTGAAAAGTTCTTGTAACCCCTCCTTGCTTGTTGTCATCTGCAAATTTTATAAGTATATTCTCCACTCCATTAGCCAAGTCATTAATGAAAATATTGAAAAGTACATGATCTGAGATAACTACTCTGAATTCAGTCCCTCAGTCAGTTATAGTTATGCACCGACCTTATAGTTATGATGGAGAATTTAAAAACCGTGTACTAAGCAAAAAAAAAAAGCTTAATTCATCTTATTTAGCAATATATAAACATAGACAATTTAAACAAGAACATAAGTCGCCTTTTAATGCCAAGAAATGTAGCACTGAAAAAATTGTTAGAATTTATATAGTATGAATGAAAGCTGCAAAGAGCAGTAACTGAAATTTTGTCTGGGATGTTTTCTAGCACTGAATAGCTTTGAGAGGTGAGGTCTCTCTCTTTTTTTGTTTTAAATTAGGTCTCTCTCCAAAGGAATCATCCAGTTCACCATTCTATGAGTCTGATACTTACACAATCATGTTGCTTTATGACCCTTACTTCCATTCCTCAGACACCTGTTTTAGTACGAGGACTGGTACAGTAAAGTGATGAGTCTATGAATAGTATTGTTTCCGTAGAACACCAGCAAGTCAACACTGTTCTAATTTTTATATTTGAAAAATAGTGGGAGTTTGTATTTTGAACACTGGAAAAATATTGGTATTAAACATTACTGGCAATAACTTTTTCATATTGTTAGAACTAACAAGCCGTCAATACAGCATGAGGTACACTAGAAACCAATCTTTTTGGCTCAGTTGTCCAAGTTAGATGAGTATACCATGAGCATTACATCAAATGTAGTTATTTGGCTTTTGTCCTAATTAAAGAAATTCTTGTCACAACTAACAAGCACTTTTTGTTCATTTGCTATGCTGGCCTTTCCTAAAACTGTAATTTTTTTGGTGTGGTAAGACTTTAAACTATGATACTATAATATTTCTGTTAGCAACACGTGGGAATTTGTGTGAACAGTTCAGTAATATAGATAATAAGAACAATCACAGCTGGAACTATATTATATTAAAAGTTTAGGGCTTAATTAGCATGCATCATTGACAGAACCAAACTA